AAARAAACCTCGCAATTACCCATAAATCTGTGCGAGTGTAACCCAAGAATGGCGTCGTGGAGTGGTGTGTGTTAATAAAAAGACGCATATCTGAGACCATATGCAATTTTTCTATATAGACGAAAAGTTTAGCAAATAAATTATTTTTGAAGATAATGAATAAATCTGCATACATTAGACTTTGTTCTAATCTTGAAGCAAGAGAGTTGTCATCATGTACAATGACCTATATGTAGTCTCTGTTTCTTGCCATTAACTTTCATCGTTATTGCTTTTCAGAATAGTCGATTGAGTGCCGCGGAGATCAAAATCACCAAAACTTTGTTTTTCATCGTGTTCGTCTTCATGTGCTGCTGGACACCAGTACTGGTTATTGACGTCATTGATACCATTCGWGGTCGATGGAGCATGCCCAGATGGTTGTATCTAACCTATAGTTTTCTGACCCTCTTTAGTAGCTTTGTAAACCCTGTGATCTATGTGATAATGAACCCTACTTTTAGACGTGAGTACAAAAAGCTACTAACCCTAAACTGTATTACCTGCAGGAAGAAGGCAGGAGAAACTGTGCGTGATTCTAGTAACGCTGATGTTAAAAATGTTGTATCCCGAGACATGTAACCAAGTAGAGTCAACTCTCTCGTAAGCGACCACCWCGGGATCAGGAARAAGTGGTCGCTTATGARAGATGGTCGCTTACGAGAATTTTTTTTACTATAAGTGTATATGGAAAACTGAACAAAACGAGAAATTTAAAAAAATGTTACAAGAGACGATCGCTTACTAGAGTGGTCGTAAAGCAAGTGTATTTGCGGTTATGACCTGAGACAGAAACTCCTAGAAATTTCACTAGGATATCGTGGAATTTCAGTCTATTCAAAAGCAAAATAAGATATTCAATTTTATAGGAGCTAATACAAGCAGCAAGCAGTCCTCAATGTACCCCTACTACAGAATATGAACGTTGTTAACCATTGAGGGGTAAAATGCCAATAACTTCAAAATCCCAACACCAACAGGACCAACAGCTCTGAAATTTTTGTTTTTTATTCTAAAATTTATCAGGGCAGATTTTGATGGTATGTTGATGTCGTTATTGACACATATATTAAAACTAGACCCTGGTATGCAGGKTATGTCATGGTGTGTCATCACAATTATGACGTCACAATGCTTATCATGGAAACAAAACCATGATATCACAGCAGAGCAATAACGCCTTAATATGACATTTAACTGGTTATCAAGATATTGATATATCATTTATAAAAAAATAATGATATCTATGAAGTCATTGTGACGTCATAWAGAACGGAGGTCATTTATATAAAGCATCGATAAAGAGATGTTATTGCAGCATTGTGTATGTCATTGGTAATAGTTATGTAAAAAGATAAATTTAACACCGTAAAAAAGTATGTGGAAAAACTTACTGACGTTTCGGATGTTAATCCTTCGTCGGAGTACGGTGTTAAATTTATCTTTTTACATAACTGTTTCTTTAGAAACACCGACGCAGCTCACACTAGTTTACCGCTAGTTCCCATCATTGGTAATAGCCAGTTTATTAAAATGCATAGACCACTTTCATAAGTGCCTACCATAAATTTTATACAATTGACATTATTATGGAAACATTCAGCACTGTTATGTGAGAGAACTATCAGAAATAGGCATTTTGTAGAAATTTTTGAATCTATGGACCAAGAACTAGCAAAGTTATTCTTCGCTGAGGCCTTGGTAGCCTCGTTTTGGTGTTTTTGTACCTCTYCTCACCCTTATAGCTTCAAGAAGATTTCATCTTTTTCTGTGAAACTTTCAAAACTTATCTAAAGCTTTAATTATATCTATCATCTGAGTGATTTCTTTTGTCAACATTTTGAATCTAACAATAATATGCTAATCAGTGTCGGCCATTATGAAGTTGACAATTTTCAATTCATAAAAATAATGTAAATAACGTCATAATGACGTCACATTTTGTTCCCACGGGTCACAACTTGGAGTAATAGCGGTTTGATCATTTTTWTAGAATTAGATTACTATTCCGGTCAACAAGACCCCGCGAARATATATTTGCTCTGATTGGCAAGCAAGCAATTACGTAGTTAATGACGAAAGGTATTTTTTGAACACGTAGATCAACGTGCGTTGCTATGATACCATACATCATACAAAAATCTATTTGACTGAGGTATGGCGATATTTTTAGCAAAATAACATTATTTTTAGCATTAGAAAAAAACAATTATCATAACAGAATGTACCGTTACCATGGTTACGGCACTTAATTACGGAATTTTTTCATTATTTCCATTCACAAGACCCAAAAATATCTTTGCTCTAATTGGCAAACAAGCAATTGCGTAGCTAATGACGAAATATTTTCCTTAGAGACGTACATAAAATCTGTTTGATTGAAATATAACGATATTTTTAGCAAAATAATATTTTTTTAGCATTTAAAAAACAAATTATAACAAAAAGGCGTAACCGTTTGACTAAAACGATGAAACAGTGACGTCCGTGCAGTTAATTATGGAAACTTTTTTTAAAAAGATATGTGTCTGCTCGACCAATCACATGACATAACCACTAGTATTTGGTATTTGTTTGTGGTGGTTGCGTAGCAAAAGAGATATTTTTCCAGAGAGAGAACTCTCCTTGACCAATCACTGCAGAATTTTCGTTATTGCTATTTGCGGATGCGCTGTTKGGTTGGTAACGCTTGACAAAAAGGCAAGTTACATTACAAAGCTCGTATARCAGTACATATTTCGATTACTGAACACTGGACTACAGAAACCAGGAAAACCATTCAATCTGCTTTGATCAGAGACCCAGGAAAATGTTTAAGAGAGCGAAAGGCACATGGCAGCTGAATGTCGTTGACGAGCTAGAAGAGCAATCAATCTGGACACGYACTAAAGAGGAACACGGATCTAAACAGAGCAAAGAGAACGAGAACACGCCTCCTGAGAATATCAAGTCAAAAACCATCAGAGAGAGAAGATCAAATGGTAGAGACTTTCAGACCAACTCAAACCTTTACGATATCTCTGGTAGAATTGGAGAGGCAARCTTCGTGCAAGGAGATATACTAAAAAGGAGAAATCCTCTTCTAATCTCATCGTTATACGAAAAGTATGACAACACGGACTCGCGAAGAGAAAAACTGACAAGGGACCTTCAGATGCATTCTCTGAGTGGCGAAGATATGGCGGCCCTAATGATAGACATTGTCGAACCWTTGGACATAGAGGCAATACTTAAAAAACTTTATAGAGACTAAAAAATATTATTTATGAATCATCTACTATAATGACAGGTGTATTTAAAATAAATTTGGAAAAAATACTTACATTGTCATTATTTTAGCTCACCAAAATTGTTTGCCTGTTTTTTATTTGTGTTTGTTTGTTGTTGTTTTTTGTTGTTGTTTTCGTTTTCTCAATTTTCCTTTTTTTCTCTCATTCTTCTTTTTTACTTTTTTTAAGTATATTTAGGGACTGTGCAATAATTACCAGGAAGGGGAGGGGGGCGTAAAACCAGAAGGGGGGCATTACATAAAAGTGATGGCAAGATAGGGGGCTCAAAGTAAAATTATCTCTTTAACAGAGGTTTAACAGAAGTTTCATTCAAAATTTTCATAAATTTCGATGTCTCTCAAAATGCTTGAAATCGCATTTCCAAGAATTATTTTTTTCAAATTTTGAAAAAACATTTCATGTCGCGAGTCACTTTTAATTGTGCATTATGTAAATTAGTTAGAGGTCACGTGATATGTACACGAGGAGCGAGGACAYAGAGAGAAGTGAGGAGGGAATGTTGTCGTTTCGTTTCGGGATAAAACTACTGTTTATTCCTGTGAGTTTGTGAGATTTTGATACGTAGGTGTCGGAGACCCTGTATCTAAACGGCCATAACTAAGATTTTTTGTTTGACTTAGCTATTAAAAAAACACTCGGTTTCATCTTCTTCTTCTTTCTTTTTAATGCAAAACATACAACAAATGTTGAGCTTGACGCTTGCGCAGAAACAGCCAGCAAGCTGATTGTGAGCCTCTGTCTAGGAGAATATTTGGCTATTCTCSGKRTCTCGGAACATGGTCCATCKRCACGTGACCTCAGTTTCATACCTTTTCAGACATCAGTCTATTYCTCGCGCGATTTTGACYTTTTCAATTACACGAAAACTATTAAAGATAATAAAATCTGTTTTCACTCCGAAGCGGTCGCGATCATGCACTGCAGAAAGTTKTCAACATCKTATGTGCTTGTACATTGGCTCATCATCAAGKCTCAGGTTTTAGATCCAAGGCCAGCGAAGAGCTGGAGCTGCTGCAGAGTCACAATGGATTCAGTTTTCGATGATATTTGTTACAAGCACGTCTTTCTTTCCTTCCAATTCAACARTTAGTTATCAAAGTTTTGCAATTTCTGAGCTGTTTGGTAAAATAATCAAACAATTCGTGAATTAGTCACGTCGATTGAGCGCGTTTGACCTCACGTCGGCTTTGTCTATTACCATGTGACTGACTCTAAWCTATATATAAACTAACAGAGACTGGTGACACTTTGCATACGAACTTAACTTCGATTTTCTTATACAAATTATATTTTATCTTGACGTTGTTTTGTGAAATATGCTTTAGCCTGTTTTGGAATTTGATAATCAATATAAATATTCGCGTCCGACCTTTATGGTCTCTTTTTATATGCCCATAAAGGTCTCACGCTCAAGTATTTTACACATTATATAAAGATGAAAGCAAACTTTATTTAAAGCCAATTGAATTGCGACCTATCGAGCTCTAGTAATGTCAGCAATTAAACGTCTTTAATTTTGAGTTACATGTATAATCCTAACCACTCCATGTAGCAATKCCAGCATTCCTTTCTTAAGGCGTCTCACGTAGTCTTATTTTAGCATCGGTTAATTTAAACTTAAGTACCCCCTTTACGTGAGGTGACTCTGAGACAAATATTTTATCATCTCAAATTTAGAATGGGGTGATTTTCATAAGTGAAACAAAGTCTAGTAGTCAATGTGTCATAAACTGTAATAGTCTACGGCAAAAGACAAARAAACGTCCATAATCAAGTGAAATACGTGTATTATAAAGGAAGTTTTTCTCTCTACTGGAATACTCCAATTTCGAAATTTTATTTGTGCAGCCTCAACCTCGAAAGAATGTAATCAAGTCTTTTACTCAGCAGAGATTTTATTGTAATGCAAAAACTCTGTGTACAAAAAAGACAATTGATTTCTAWTCTTGCACAGAGAATTCGAAACTRGAGTATTGAACTATGAATTATAGTGACTAATACTGAGTTCCTTGAAGATATCTTCAAGTTATGTATTTAGCTCAGTGGAGTAGCTAGCCTTTTTTGAATGTGTTCGGCCATATTTTGTTGTTAATCCAACTTTGATACAATACATGTTTACAAAGAAACAGGAAACTAACATAATCAAATATGTGCTAGTGAATTGTGGCAGGCATGATGTGGCAGGCATGATGTGGCAGGCATATAAGCACTTCTTCACAACTAACTAACTTTTCAATGTGTATATTATAAGCGTATCGATCTACTGTCTCGCGCTATACCTTGTCCATCATCGCAAATGTTGCAACTTCTTTCACTGATTTGAGAACGTGAATATTTGAACTGTTTCTAGTTTTGACTTCTCGTCTTTTTCGTGTCCTTTTTTCCCCTTTTTTTAATTAGCAATCTATGTCATGGTATCACGTACGGAGACCTAAAAATATTTAGAATGTACAAAGAGTAGCGATACATAGAATAGATACAGTATACATCCACCAGGACCAAAGGCTACAACCTCTATACAGTTAAACGTCCAGTTAAATCACGTACTGTAGCTATGCGGTAGGGAAACCCTTCAGCCCCTCGGCGAGTATTTGTAAACGCTTATCATGTATTATGACAATGTGTATCTCTTGGATAAACTCCAATGAATACTTTTTCCATCGTTTTWCGTGGAATTCTTGATTCTTTATCTTTTTCAATCATAAATCAARACACCGAGAGAGATACCTCGTGAGGCTTTTTCACCTGCATATAATGCTGTACTACTGGCATTACTACAGGTTCGATATTGTTCTTCAAGTAGACTGTTTCATCTTTGCTGCTATGGCAAGAACCTATGAAAGTCGGAATCTCAAATTTTGTGTATCGTCGGCATTTTGCAGCCTCTTTAATGTCAGTGAGAGTAGTGAAGTAGGATCAAACATGGTCTTCCTGTGCTGTTTTGCAATAACGATAGCGGGATTTATATAGTGTCTGAAACTAAGCTAACTGTAACGGACTAAATTTATAAAAGCTGCATCGCATTTCGACGGGATATATCTACTCCTTGCCATTCCTTCCTGAGAGCAATTTTTCTTTACTCTAGAGAGCCAGATTCACGTTTTCTGCAAACGCCAAACGTCAAATTGGCTTTCATTATTTGTCTCAAAATTTCAAACAAAATTAAAAACGCTTCGAAAGTAAAAGTGATGCGCTTATGCACGAAAAAGTGATCTATTTTATACACAATCGCGAAWAAACGGAGCTTTAATACAGAAAAACAGKGATCACGTGATCAGTTTTGACGTTTGGCGTTCGCAGTAAACGCGTATCTAAAACTCTCTACTTTTGAAGTCATTCACACTACGTCCATCATGTTGCTTTCCAAGCTATAAGAAATCATCATAATTCACGCTTGCTATTACTTGCATTCTTTTGCCGAACATTTTCAGTGACYTGGCGGATTTTTAAACACGTTTCAGTATGTCTATCATGGAAATACCATCTCGGAAACTCTTTTTTTATCATTCAAATGCCTAACGGTAGGATTCCTGACATTGAGGTCATGTATTTTCAAAGATATCGTACGAGTATGCATGGCATGACAGTACGAATAATTATTTGCACGAGTTAGTTTTTGTGTCAGCAGAAGTCACGTTCGTGTCTACCCTTCAAGGGATGCAAGCAGTATAAATAGTGACTGATACACAGTTTATCATAAGTAGTAGTGTCCTGCTGGCAGAAGAACAACCTGTGATCTTGGAAACTTTGTCTTTGCAGGTAAGAATTAACGAAATACATTATAGTTTAAGAATTTATCTGAAAAGAAGTTACAATAGAGGTCTTTAGTCATAATCCAATAAGCATTCCTTGAACATACCATAGGTTAACTGAAGACAATCGGAACGAAAATCTTTCTTAATCATATCTGTCTTGATATACATCCTCGTTTTGGACGCTGCAGAAGTCACATAGTTTTTGAATTTTTCATAGTCATTGACAGCTATTTGTACATATAAGATTTAGTAATACTTGAATGTCTATTTGAGCTTCATCGTTAATCTAGGTGATTAAAGTCTGTGTATTGGCCCCCAGTTAAGCTATTTTGTCTGAGAGTATTATTGCTATTATACGTACAATGTAATTCCTTACTTGAAGACTTTTGCTTTGCATTTAAACGKTGCATTAAGATCTCAACAGGTTGTTCAATTCAATCATTATACTGAAAYACGGCATTTGAGTTCAAGACGAAAAGCACCAATTGTAATGAATCGTTCTTCGACATCAGAAATCAGAAATCTAAAAGCAAGTCTATGGACAAATAACAAAAAATGGTCTAAAATATATTAAGAAATGAATATTAAAAAGAAAAAAAAGTTTAAGACAATATAATCATATAATAATTGTATACCAAACATCAAATTCATGGAGATTTGTGTAGCAAAAATATCAACATATTTTATTCTCGCATTGGACAATTAGTCAATTTAACTAAAACGTGAACTTTTGCTCAATAGAATATTAAATRTTATTATTTTCATATTTTTTTTGACAGATGTTTCTGCGATTAAGGCTTTTTAGTGTATATGGATAAAACGATAACGATAGACTTATTCAAATATTCAGTGGTTCTCTGACCTAACAATGCTATTATAAATATAACAATAGTATAAAGTACTATTATACGGATGTACGCCCTGTTGTAGTGYGGTATCTGAAGGCTAACGACTCATACTTTCAATACTTTCAATGCAAAACCTCGACTCAGGTCGAAGTTATTTCCATAGCTAAGAACTTATATATAGTTGTTTTGAAAGGATTGACTTCAACGATGACCAGCCATGCAATACAATCAACAACATGCAAAATACAAAAAAATGCTCGTYGACTTATTCACATAAGGAATAAAAGAAGGTTTCCATGATTGAGCAATAAATGTATGCCTCTTTAAACAGTACATCGATCCTTCGTGACATGACACATCAAACAACAGATTAACGCTAGTTTTGTCAACTTAGCTAGGCTAGAGCACACAGTCAACAAATCTTGATACAATTAAATATTCAAATGCCGAATTAAATCATGCAGGCGTAATTTCAGTGCAATCCAGGAAAATGTCGCAAATTCGGTCAGGAAACTCTTATTTGTCAGCAGTACATCTTTGACCTTTTTAAAAGCTAAAAAGTGACAGTATAAATATTGAAGGACTATCAAGTATGAGTGTGAGCTTTCTTTATTCTTGTACGTTGTTTATGCATAAACTCATCTGCCATATATTTCCGGTACAAGCTAGACATAATTTTGTAAGAATGAAGTTGCTTTTTGCAGGATTAATTTTATTGTTGTTCTCTATTTCTGAAGCTGACTTTTTTCACAGTTTGTTTTTGTTTTTGTTTTTGTTTCATGAGGTATATTTTTTAAGATACTCCTTGCTTGAATTTTGGACGATTTCGATCATTCTATCTTTTCCGAAAAAGACATGCATTTAACAATTTTTTAATTGTTTCTCTTGGTATGTACTCTATTTATGGTAATAAGACAACATGCCACGAGAATCTWTCATAAATTTGTTTCGTTACTGACCCCTAATGAGCCTCAGAAAAAAAAAGAGCAATTTTGAAACAGTGGCCACGGAATGTGCTTATATTTAACACATCTCTACCGATCAGAAATCGAAAAAAATCGAAATCGAAAAACTAACTTGTGGTAAAAACATAGATTTTATTAGTAGTACTCAGTTGGATCAATATCAACAAAGCACTGAAAGTACAAAACGTCGTTTAATTTGCCTCGACCTATGTAGCATCTTGATTCCTTTAAAGAATATTTAAATACTTTCGCTATATGCCAAAACCCGGCAAAAATTGAMGCGATGTTAAAAGCAGTGCCTTTTRTCAGTGTTGAAGATCTTTGAAATGATACGTCACTCTAAACTTTTTTGAGACTTTTGACCGAAGAGAYTGTTTCCGGTTTTGGACCACACAACTTTTAATATTCTTTTTTTTTTTTAATCAAAGAGACCAGAGAGTAGAACTACAGAAGCAGTTGTARAACTTTTTATWTCTCTGRCACGTTTCGTTTAACTCTGTGGACTTCTTCAGGGAGTTTTCAAAAAAATTCAAAGAGACCACAGAGCAGCACTACGGATGAGCAGTTGTAATACTTTTTATTTCTCCGACGCGTTTCGTCTAGCTCTGTAGAGCTTTTCATTAAAATAAAAATGAAAAAAATTATTATATTCTACCAATTAAGAAGGGCTGAACGAGAACGTTTCAATCTTAGCAAAAGAAAAAAAAATTAGTGCTTCAAGTAGTGACTTTTGTTATTAAACATAATATATAATTTATTAATTCTAAGACCTATAGACATATAATTGTAAATATTGTACCTATATATTTTTAGATATTATATAATTTTGTCTATCTATTAATTTTACCAGTAAGTAGCATATAGACGTAATTCAGTCTCACGGCTGCAAGGTTTATCGGATTAAAAC